AAAGGTATATATTGTACAATATGGACAGTAAATTAAACACAGCAAACATTCTTTCGGAATCTGAAAATGTGATGGACAGCTCCATTTGTCACCATCACAAAAAGTTCATCTCTGCAGAACAAAGTCTTTACTATGAAGATATATATTTAATAACGACACACAAAAAAAGTCATGTAAACTAAGATAAAATAAAACGATTATTTCAATTGAAGTATCAGAATGTACTTTCTAAACATCATTATGGCTGTATTTTTTGGCGTGTAGATTTTTGAAAAAAAAAATGGATAACACACACCTAGGAAGCGATAAATACTTATGTTACACAAATACAGCACACTGAGTACCAACGTCGCCATATTGAAATAGTCAGATATAATGCATGTTCTTGTTTAAACAATCCATTCTCCAGAAAGTATAGTTAGTATAATGATAGGCAAATTTAATGTGGTGACTAATAAATCACCCGTTGTAAGTCCAAGTAAAAATACATACGTTATTCTTCGCAATTCAGAATACTTCAATATAGTGATCCAAATATGTACATTGCCAGTCATGGCACAACCACACATTGTGATGAAACGTGTTCCCTCTAAATACATTAACATTCTAAGTACCAAAATTTCAGGCAGAACATATACTCTCAAGCTCACATACGGGTGAAACAGTTATTGTGACCTTTATTAATCAACTAATTCAGTAGGATACAAATTTAACCCCTTTCCCACAAATGTCACATTTTTGTTTTGTTTAAAATATTAAATTTAGTTATAATTATTAAAACTTGTTATAATCGATTTCGAATAAAATCTGTTAAACTTAAGTAACACTGTTAACAAGAACTCGGATTTTCTGTTGAAGTTTAAGTACAGCTAATATTTACAGACAAATCTGTATTATACTGTTCTAATATTTATACATTTGAATCACAAACATGCAGAACCAACATGAGCTTGAACTTAATCTGAGAATGGTTTCATTTGCAATAATATTTTATGTATTTTTTAATTATTTTTGTTTGGGGGGGGAGGCTTTTCTTGAAATTGACTTATTTGCATTTTCTTCTATTTTTATTTGGGCATAAACTTTAATCTGTCTCGATTCATAACTTGTATAGCTCTGTTGACATGTTTTTTCTTTACCTTTTTCATCTCTTTTATTGGTTATGACTACTACATTTTAACGACATGTTTATTCAAAATTACGGAAGCCCATTTTGGACCTCCTAAAAAATATATTTGAATTCGAAATCACGAATTTAAATCGTTATCACGAATCCGTAGAATTTGTTATCACTTTTTTTTGGTTATTCGTGATAATGGATTAAAATCGTTATAATGAATTTCATAAATGGTTATAACGGATTAAATTCGTTATCACAAATTCGTAGAAATAGTTATAACGAATTTAATCCGTTATCACAAATTATATAATTTGTTTTAACGATTTTAAACCGTTATCACGAATTACAATAATCTGTGATAACGAATTTAATCAGTTATCACGAATTACAAAAAAAACTGTGATAACAATTACACAAGTTCGTGAGAACGATTTTAATCCGTAAACACGAATTATAAAGTTCGTTATCACGAATTACAAGAAAATTGTGATAACAAATTTAATCCGTTATTACGAATTACAAAAACTGTTATAACAAATTCCATAAATTCGTGATAACGAATTTAATCTGTGATAACGAATTCTAGAATTTGCGATAACAATTTAAATTCGTGATATCGAATTCAAATAATATTTTCTGGAGGTCTTAAATGGGCTTCCGTACAAAATTGTCTATTGATAATCCGTGATATCGAATTGATAATCCATCATCTCGTATTGATACCGGAAATAGCTTCAGATATTCTCATGGAAGAGTGTAAAATAAAAACCTGACTGAAATAAAATATAAACTCGACTGAACTAATCTAGTCTTTTAGACTATTGAATTAGAACTTATGGATCAGAGAGTTTTGACTTATCCTGCAATCAGCCAACTATTGTGCAAGTAACAGGTACACACATAATTTCTTGCATTATTTGTACTTCTATGTTGAGCAAGCGACAGTGTGAATATTTCTTTTTGCGTGACAATTCATTTTGAGGTTCACTTCGCTGTCCGCGTTTAAAATATGTAGAATTTTTTGAAAAATCAGAGACAAATATTTGGATTTCAACAACTAAAGCTTCAAGTGCTGGGTGTAAATTGCAGAATATAAACAATATATGTACATTTTAGGAAATATAAAATGTCGTTGTACTCGTTACGAAACAGGAAAAAGACAAGTTAGAAAATCAGTGCCCCTTTGGTTGCTTGATGATACGATTCCGCAACAGCTGAAAAAAAAAAAATTATTCGTTTCCAAAGAAAAACCTCAACGACACATTTATAAGAAAACCCTTATCTTATGTGAGAATGAAGAGCTGTGTCCTCAGTAGTTTATATGTACCAAATGCATTGTTTAAACTTTGTTCTCGTCTTATTTGCATTTACTTATTTTAACTTAAAAATAACAAATATACAGCGATCAATAATGGTAAGAAACGAAGGCTGCCGTTGTCAGTTTGTCATCGATTTATGAGTTTACATTAACCATTGGTATCTTCCGCCTTTCTTTTACTTGATTATGTAATGACATTTGTTTTCCTATTGTTAAATATTGACAAAAATATCAGCTTTGTATATAATTCCTCGTGAATGTAAATACTTATACCTGAACATAGTAAACTTATTGAAATATATTCATTTACTCCGTTTTTTAGAAAACTTTTATGTGAATTTCAATGTCATATGGTTTGTAATTATATTCAGGAAAGATATCACGTTTACACCATATCATCGATATCAAATAGTCAACTTTAACAAATTATTAATGGCAATTATATTTTCGTATTAGTTTTCATTAAAACAAAATATACTAAACATACGGAACTCCAGAGTACATTTGTTATCAATATTGACAAACGATTGCACCGTATTAAGTGTTAAAGGAAAATATGTTAGTCTGATTTAGTATAATAAATAGGTTTTAGCAATTCTTAGTTGAATTGGCAGTTAAGTATGCCACTCACTTAACTACAAGTCCTTACAAACTTTTTTAAATGTAAACTGTTATTTTGGTTGTTTTTTTTTTCTTTACATTCAGCATCAACATTTTATAAATATTTAGATGACGAAACACATACGTATCATCTATCTCCAAATAAAGATAGACCAGAAGCAACGAAATACTACTGACCAGATAAAGGTATATATTGTACAATACGGACAGTAAATTAAACACAGCAAACAATCATCTAGAATCTGAAAAATGTGATGGACAGCTCCATTTGTCACTGTCACGAACAGTTCATATTTGCTGAACAATGTATGATTAACTGGTCGTTTAAAAAATCTGATTGCAAATGCATTTGCTGCAACTCATATAAATCATTTTTCTCTATGGCAAAAGGTAAACATGCTAGATTAACTTACTGGAGTTGTGATGAGATGATTAAAGCTGTAAAGTTTCTCCTTGACAACATTTATGAACGTTTCGGAAATAGAAAAGTGTATCGACAGGTTGTAGGTATTCCTATGGGTATCAAGTGTGCCCATTTAATAGCAGACTTGTGCCTGTTCTGTTATGAGCCACAGTTTATGGCCAAACTTAGTAAAGACTCGTCTAAATCCCATTTAATTGATAAATTCAACAAGAGTTACCGTTATCTACATGATATTTATTGGCTAAAAAATCAACAATTATCAAAATATATTGCCGAAATTTACCAAAAGGAACTTACTTTAGATAACTCAAATATTAAAAGCAATAACTGTCCTTTCCTAGATTTGTCATCGTTACGAAAAGCTCATCTCTGTCGAACAAAGTATACTATGAAGATAGATATTTAACCATCCATATCTAAACTTAGGTAAAATAACAAATATTTCAATATATGTAATAAGAATGTACTTGTTTTGGCGTGTAGATTTGTGAAAAATAAAACGGATAACACACAATTATGAAGCGATTAATACTTATGTTACACAAAGACAGTACACTGAGTACCAAAGTCACCATATTGAAATAGCAAGATATAATACAAGTTTTTGTTGAACAAATATATTCTCCAGAAAGTATAGTTAATATTGTAATAAGCAAATCTAATGTGGTGGCTAATAAATCACCCGTGGTAAGTCCAAGTAAAAATACATACGTATTGCTTTGCAACTCAGAAAACTTCAATATAATGATCCAAATACATGCATTGCCAGTCATGACACAACCTCACATTATGATGAGAAATGTTCCCTCTAAATTCATTAGCATTCTAAATTCCAAAGTTTAAGGCAGAAAATATACTCTCAAGCTTACATACGGTTGAAACAGTTTTTGTGACGTTTACTAATCAACTAATTCAGTATGATACGAATTTAACCCCTTTCCCACATATGTCAAATTTTGTTTTGTTTAAAATATTGAATTTAGTTATAATTATTAAAACTTATTATATAATCGATTTCGAATAAAATCTGTTCAACTTAAGTAACACTTATAACAAGAACTCGGATTTTATGTTGAAGTTTAAGAACAGCTAATATTTACCCAAACAGATCTGTATTCATTTGTATAACAAACATACAGAACCAACACGAGCTAGAACTTATTCTGAGAATGGTATAATTTGCAATTATGTTTATGTATTTTTTTATTTTTTTCTTGGGGGCAGGGGTCTTTTCTGGAAATTGACTTGTTTGCCTTTTCGTCTATTTTGATTTGGGCATAAACTTGTTCAATCTGTCTTAATGCATAATTTGTATAGTTCTGTTGACATTTTGTTTTATTTACCCATTTTCATTGGTTATTGATGACTACATTTTAACTACATGTCTATTCAAAATCATGTATTTAGCATACGTATATGTTTCAAACGGTTTGAAAAACCAGATAATAAGTATACTATGAACGCGTATGATATTATTTTCTTAAGTAAACTACGCTTTCTTGAAAAAATGTACACACGCTTGTGGCTAAAAACCACGTACAATCTATCAAAACGAAATTTGACACACAATTTTAACAGCGACTCTAGAATTACTGTTCCCTCAAAACAAAAGATGGCTTAATGGAGACGGTTTTTGTAAAGTATACACACGGAGCAAAAATGTATTTGCAAAATAGTAGGCCGATCGCAAGATAAATATAGATATCAAAGTATAAGACAAAGCATGCAATATCAGGTCATAAAAAGAATAACAGAAAATTATCGAAAATGTTTGGAAGTTGCAACAGATCACTAAGAACCAACGAAAAAATATACGTTCTAACCACAACGAACAACGCATGGTCCAGATAGTATAAGCATTTCTTTTGATCAAATTTTATAATTACAAATATTTTTACCTCGAGCATCACTGTCGAAATGCGCATTTGGTTTAGTTAATGGAACCGTTTAATGTTTCTGGTACAGGCACACAATTTGAAGAGGTAAAACTAGTATAAAGTGCACAGTAATCCTCCTCTTTATTTTTCTATTGCATATATTATAGGGTAAAACACACAATAAAAAGAGCACCATCTTCCAACAGAATGGTCATTAGTTTGAACAAGGAAATAAAAGACGGCTCATGAATTTAAAAGCAGAGTTAACCCTTCAATAGCTGGTGTGAAAAGTAAATATATAAACATGTAAAATGCAAAGAAGAAACGTATCTTAGGAATGGTATCGTCTGGTCTTCAGCCTATGGTTTTGTATCTATGATATATTTGATTTTTGATCGGATATTCAATTCGAATTTCCAATCTATACTGATGATTCTTGGCTTTTTTAAGATAGTTAAGTGTAAAAGTAATCTTATTTTTAATAGTAAATGTTTACTGATTACCAATATGTCAGTTGTATCTCGATAAAGTATGTTTACCTAAAACAATTGAGAACTCATTTAATCGAGACTTAACAATTTTCAAAAGTTCATGAAAAACTTGCTTTAGTTCTTAGTCGATGGAAACTTTTCCAGACAGGTTGATAATTATTGTTTTTTAATTAACATCTGGTTTGTTTAATATTTTCTTCATTGGACAAAATTCAACCGTGTCGTCAAATTTTGTTGCGTTCCTCTCAATTTGATTTTGTGATATTTCATAAAAAGAACACATTCTTTTTGCTTATTAATTGAACAGAAAGTCGTTTAATTTTTTTTTAAAGAAACAGATTCTACTACCGAATTTCGAGCAATACGATAAAATGCAGCTCTCGACAGTTAAATGTTAAACATCTAAAAATCTCGGCAAGTCCCGTGTCTATTTTATATATCCAAAATATTAACTGTCTTCAATAGAGACACATGGTATTACACTCGGTAAAGTGGTAGAATCTATATTTCTCTAGCAGTATATTTGATACATGTAACCATGAATTTCTTTTTTTTTTACTTTTTTTGTCCTTATTCGAACCCGATTTATACTTTTCTTGACCTATTGATTTGTTTTGTTTATAATCAACATGTGGTTCGTTTGATGTCAGATTTTCATTGTCAAAAGTTAATTATGACGGACGGAAGATGTTTTGGCTTTTTCTCTGAATTTTCTGTTGTGACATCACGAAAAATGTCGACCATGTCTGACGAAAACAATTGAAAAGGAAAGTGTCCAGGTCTCGTCTCTAAATACTAAGAGAAACAGATTCCACCACCGAATCTTGTGCAAAACGACAGTTCTCCACTATCAACTGTTAAATTCTAAATATCAATAATCAGTAAGCCTTGCATTTTTAATATGACACTTAAATGTTGAGAGGAGAAATATCGTACCACACTCGTTAACGTGTAATGTTCATTTTCTTCCTACGCGTTATTGTATTTAGAAACAACATTGTTTTTTCAAAGGAAAACAACATAATATACAAAGATAGTAAATTGGATAAAAAAGCTTCATTTTTTATCCATTTGAAATGATTATAATGTAATTTGCATACAATAAACCATTATAGTTGTATCCGAGCAGTAATTGTTTTTTTTTCACTTTTCTTTTCGATATTTTCCAACTTCGTGATACTCTGTAGATCTTATTAAATAGTTTTAATTATTATTATTGTTAGATAATATCTGATTGATTTGGAAAGAAACTATAATTCATTCATGTGATGAGATAAATGTCATAAAACTAATCATTATAGAAGAAGATGTTGTCTAATACCATATCTTTAATTGTCGATAGTATTCATGAATTTTAAATTCGATTCTATATAAACCTAAAGTTGGTTTGCATTGCACCACACTAGAATAGTATGTGATTATCAGTTTAGCTAAAATTGATTTTTAGATTAAATAAATAAAAGTACCTGATCTAAAAGTGAAATAGCTTCAGATATCCTCAAGGTTGAATGTAAAATATAAACCAGACTGAACTGATCTAGTAGCTCAGACTCTTGAATTAGAACTTGTGGATTTACTTTACTGTATTGGAGATAAACCCGTCTATTTCTTATTTGAAAACCTTGTTTACTACAAACCTTTGGTAAGTTTAAGCATTCAATTATGGATCATGCTCTTATGAATCAAACTTTAAAAAAAACCTCTCTATTAAATCAGATAAGAAGACGATACAATATTCCCTTAAATACACTTTCGGGTATATTGTACGTGCCCTGTACATGCAATTGACTAAATAATCGTAATTTTTAGCCCACCTGTCCCGAAGGGCCAAGTGAGTTTTTCTAATCACTTGGCGTTCGTCGTCCGTCGTCGTCGACGTCATCGTCGTTAACTTTTTACATTTTTAACATCTTCTAGCGAACCACTGAATGGAATGAAACCAAACATGGAATGAATGTTTCTTATTGGATGCTGACCAAGTGTTGTTACTGTGAAGCCGATCCATCATCCAAGATGGCCGCCAGCGGGTAGCTTTGTTTAACATAGGACCCTATGGACAATACATACAAATGTCTTATTTTAGAGAACCACTAAATGGTATGAAAAAAAACATCACATGAATGTTTCTGATGAGGTGTTGACCAAGTGTGGTTACTTTGAAGCCGATCCATCATCCAAGATGGCCGCCAGCGCAGGACTTAGTTTAACAAAGAACCTTAAGGACAATACATACAAATGTATTCTTTTAGAGAACCACTTAAAGGAATGAAACCAAACATAGCATGAATGTTTCTTATGATGTGCTGACTAAGTGTTATTACTTTGAAGCCGATCCATCATCCAAGATGGCCGCCAGGGGGGGGGGGGGTCTTTCGTTTAACATGGAACCCTATAGACATGACATACAAATGTCTTCTTTTAGAGAACCACTCAATGGAATGAAACTAGACATGGCATGAATGTTCCTTATGAGGTGCCGAGCAAGTGTTGTTACTTTAAAGCCGATCCAGCATTCAAGATGGCCGCCAGTGTGAAACTTCGTTTAACAAAGGACACTAAGGTCAATACATACAAATGTCTTCTTTTAGAGAACCACTTAATAGAATTTAACCAAACATGGCATGAATGTTCCTTATGAAGTGTTGAGCGAGCTTTGTTACTATGAAGCAAATTCATCATCCAAGATGGCCGCCAAATTGGGACTTAGTTTTACAAAGCCCTATGGGAAATAAATACAAATGTATTCTTTTAGAGAATCACTAAATGGAATGAAATAAAACATGGCATGAATGATCCTTATGAGGTGCTGACCAAGTGTTGTAACTTTGTAGGCAATTGATCATTCAAGATGGCCACCAGGGGGTCTTCGTTTAACATAGGACCCTATAGGAAATACATACAAATGTTTTCTTTAAGAGAACCACTGAATGGAATGAAACCAAATATGGCATGAATGTTCCTAATGAGGTGCTGGCCAAGTGTTTTTACTTTGTAGCAAATCAATTATCCAAGATGGCTGCCAGGGGGGACCTTAGTTTAACAAAAACCCTATGTGAAATACATACAAAAGTCTTCTTTTGAAGAACCACTGAATGGAATGAAACCAAATATGGGATGAATGTTCCTTATGAGTCGCTGACCAAGTGTTGTTACTTTGTAGCAAATCCATGAACCAAAATGGCTGCCAAAGGGGGACTCCGTTTTACAAAGGACCCTATGGAAAATATATGTATACAAACGTCTTCTTCTAAAAAACCGCTTTATGGATTGAAACCAAACATGGTATGAATATTTCTTTTGAGGTGCTGACCAAGTGTTGTTACTTTGTAGCTGATTTGTATTGTCCTTATAATTTTCTACAATTTCAATGAATTTATCGGTTATTTCTGTAAACTTTACAAAATCATTCTGCGTTTGAATAAATTACATGCCAATTTTAAACCAAATTTGGCCTCAATCATTATCTGTCGTGATTTAAACTATTTTTACATGATTTCCAAAACCAAAGTAGAATCAGATGAACGACACAGGCTTTTCGGAGCCTATAGTTGTGATTACATCTAACTCGGGTTTAAAAAACCCAAAGAAACAAGCAAGTCCATCAGATATTTAGATTTTGTGGAGAAATAGACACACAACTTGCATCTAGGAGAAATCAAATATCAAATATTCTGTAAACAATTGTCTGAAGTGAACAAAAAATATGTTTATATAATGACAGCCGTTTTCCTATTGACATATATTGACAAAAATATAGACTTTGTACATACTTTCTCCCTAATGTAAATACTTATACCTGAACATAGAAAACTTATTAAAGTATTGATTAGTTACTTGGTATTTTAGGAAATTGAAAGCGAATCAGTTATATACAATTGCAATGTCATACACATTCGAATTAAATACAGTAAAGATATCACGTTTAGACCATATCATCGATAGCAAATAGTCAACTTTAATGAATTATAAATGTCAATTAGATTTTCGTATAATTTTTCCTGACATCAGGAAATACTAAACATTAGGAATACCAGAGTACATTTGTTCTCAAGATTGATAAACGATTGCACCGTATCAAGTGTTAAAGGAAAGTTGGTTACTAGTCTGATTTAGTATATTACATAGGCTTTAGCAATTCTTAGTTGAATTGACTTTTAAGTATGCTACTTACTCAACCACAAGTCCTTACACAATTTTTAAAATGCATACTGTTAT